AGGAAGAAAATCTTCTGGAAGCTGGATATACAGGGCGGGGGGGGGGAAAGATAAAACCCAAAAAATCTCTGCTTTATCAATCACAAAAAGGCAATTTAATTCTGACAAACCATCAAAAGACCATGGCAAAAAAATTAATTAGGAAAATATTTATTGCCTCTGCAGCTGAAGAAGGAAAAGCAGCAACGCTGCTGTGCAAGCACGGCAAGCACCCTGCGGGGTTCAGGACTTCGCAGACCTGCTCTGACACCTTTTGCTCACCGGAGCAACTGAACGGCTGCAGCTGGCGGAGGCTTCCCTCCGTCAGGCAGGGTTTTGCGCTCTTGGTGTCCCAGGTTCGTTTCTTCCGCTCAAGCGTACAAAAACTGGAAGCGTAGTACCCCACAGCAGAACCCGACAGACTGGTGTCCCCTGGGGAATACCGATCCTGGGATCTGAGGCCTGGAAGAAAGCTCTCATGATGGCTTATTCTTATCATGGATGCTCAGAATTTACTTAACACTTTTCAACGTTGGCAGAAAATAATATCTCATTTTAAATCTGCAAAAGGCAAAACTGCATCATTTTTCTGCCTGTAAGTAGCATGCGCCGAGACTGACAAAACAGACTAAAAGTCAACGGCGCGTGCAATTTCGGGTTTCGAGGTGCTAGCGATGCCACGTTTGCACAGCATGCTGGATATCGCAAGTATATTGATAACATTCCACATATGGTATTGAAATAGTCCAATACACAAACATACCACAACACCTAGTAGCATGCTGAATTATACCAATTACTTCCAATATTTATTTTTCAACGGGTACAGAGCACCGTTCATGTACTTAGGAGACAAACCCATAATGAATAAAAGGAATATAATTTCTCAGGCTGGATTTGGAATGATTACTGGAGCTACAGCTCATAAAAAATTGAAATGAAACTTGAAATGCTTCCTGTGGGTCAAGTCCCATTTCTAGGCCTCATGCAAAAACCCCACTGCAAACCAGCATTACCTCTGAAGAAACACATCCCATACATCCGCTAGGCTACAAATAATACTTTCTTCAGCAAGATACAACAATGCCGTTACATTACAATGACAGAAAAAAAAAAGCCATTAATTGTACTTATGCTGTGGTCTGTTGCTCAGCAAGCAGCGGATGATGCGCTACATAATCAGCTGCAACACACAGCTGCAGAGAAATTTGTTTTCAAGTTTCAAGAAAACATTGTAGCCCTGGTTTGCCTGTTTCATTCAAGGATGCCTCTGTTAGGATTCTGTTTTAAATGGAAGTTTACAAAATAGTTTCCACAGTTTACTTTGGGGATCACAGTGAGATTATTAACCATTATTTTTATCACTAAATCAGGATTTGATAAGAAATGTCAGAGAAACTATTTTCACATGGCATTAGATACCTGAGTTTATCAGCTTTAACCACAGGAGATTAGGCTAGAACATTATTACCTGAAATGAGAAAGCATGTTACCATTCGGTAAAATAAAAGTGTATCACACAGGTACAATGTTTCAATTGCGCTTTACCACTGGTTTAACAGCGCTGTAGTCCAGCAGGTTATGCTGATGTTTTATGTGAAAGAAAAACAAAGTTGCCAAAAAAGTTTGACAGTTTTACACCACAGGTAAGCTCAGTAAGATTAATAACATTAAGGAAACTTGTTCAAGTCGTATAATACGGGAGCAAGCTATACCATGTCTGAATACACAGCGTTCATTTCTATACAGAAGCAAGCAAAACCAAAACAGTACGCATTAGCTGATTTCCTTGTGCTGCTTTTTAAAACATGGGACTGAGCACTGAACAGTGATCCAGAGCACAACTCTGCAAAACTTATCCTCCCAAGAAAGAGAAGGGCAGAGAAGTTTCTGTAGTACTGAAATTCTTGGCCAGATCCCAGTGGGGAGACTCGGAGGATATTCAATAGGTACGCTCTGCCAAAGATGTAGGTATTTGACCAGCGACCCAGGCTCCATAGCAAGTTATGTGGGGGTGCAGCAAGAGAATATTGCCAAAGAAGCTCTTACTAGACAGTCTGAGGGAAGAAAAAAACACCACTGCCACATCAAGTAAAACCTCCAAATTCCTTAATTCTTTAGGAAGAGAAAATGAATTTTCCAGGGGTCGCTAAAAACATTCCATATATTGCAGGAGTAGTCAAACACACCGCAAGCGTAACTTCCCAGAGACCAGGCCGAGTTCGTTATCCTTCAAGGCATTATTTCACGTCTGGGAACGCTCCTGTTTCACGGCTAAGTTTCTGACTGATAGAATAACTGCAACGCAGGAAAGAAACGTCAAGAAAACCAGGCAACAGAAATGCTGACAGAGAAGATATTTTAAATTTAGTTTTACTTTTGACAAAGCAAAAGTTTTACATTTGACACCGCCGAAACCCCAGCACCTGGGAGC